GCGGGGGGGGGGTTGGGAAGGGGAGACTGGGGTCCCCAAGCCCTGTGTCCCCCCCCAGCATGGCCACACGATGCACCAGGCTTGGTCCTTCTGCAAGGACAGCTCAGCCCCGAGGTCTCCAGGGCTTGGGGGACAGACCTACAAGCAGATCTGAGGCGTCTCCTCCACACCAGCACATGGATGCTCTGGAGCATCCATGGGGCATCAGGATAATGCAGCCAGGAGTTGTCCTTCCCTGGCACCCCTGGAACGTGGACACGTGCTCGGGGGGCACACATGAGCACAGAGAGGGGCTTGGCATGGTCACCAGGCTGGGACACAGCAGCAGGCATGGCACCAAGCATGGCACCAGAGGAAGGGCAGGCGCTCGCCCTCCAGATGCATGGATGAGCTCCTCCATGCCCAGGCAGGGCAGCACAGCTTGCTCATCCTCTGTAGCTCTGATGCCACAGTGATGGGGATGAGCCATGTGCCTTGTGAAGGTCATGAGGGCACCTGGCTTGAAAAGCCACCAGCTTTCACCTGAAGGTTGCCAGCACTGGATGGCCACAACAGGTTGGAGCCCCTCCAGAGCCACCCACCACTGTCCCTGCAAGGACCTACGACCACCCTTCCCTGCTCCGCACCTGCCTCACCAGGCAGGAAAGCACCGGCACCGTTCGGTACAAGGCACACGGTTTTTATTCATGGTCAAAGCAAGCTCTGTCCCCATGCCAGCCTGTCCCTTGCCAAGCCCCAGATGGGGTGGCTGGAAAGTCCAGACCACTGTGCTCTGGGCTGGTGGGCATCATCAGCTGGTGCTGGGATGGGGCCATGGTGTGCCCAGCCACCCTCAGAACTGGAGCTGGACAAGGTAGCGGATCCGGCATTGGCTTTCCTGGTAGATGAGGTACTCGCTCTGCCTGAAGGAGGAGTCCTTGTAGGTGGGCATGGGGATGGGCTTGCCCTGGCACACCAGAACCTTCTTGCCATCCAGCAACACTTCTTCATCCTGCGCAGGGTCTGGGTGAGAAGACACCCCCCCACCACCATGTCAAGCCCGAGATCTGGCCTCTTCCTCCCCTGCCCCATGTCCACCCCAGATCCACAGGCCCTCACACCCTCTCCTGCCCCAGGCTCACCCGGCTCTGTCTGGCCACAGGCCAGGACGCTGTCGTAGCCGGCAGGTGGCTGACACAGCGTGGGGTCGTCGCAGGTGATGCGGTAGGGCTTGCCCAGGGCCACCTCCGTCAGGAACATGATGCCAACCTTCTTGGATGTGCAGCGCACTGCCATGGGAGAAGGGGATGGAGATGATGGCACCAGCCCCGGCGTTCCCATCTGGTTGTGCCCAGATCACTCTGGCACGCAGGGAATGGCTGCCACGGCAGCGAAGGGGCTTG